TACAGAGCTAAAGCACGGTTTAGAGTTAAGGCTCGTCCAGATTCAGCTAGATATGAAGACTGTAAGGCACGTATTAGTACATTCATGTTACTGTTAAAAAGCCAGACTATAAAAAGCCCCCCTGCCCCCCGACACACGAGGATACTGCGTGTGTAGCCCTGTTACCTTTGTTGAACACAGATGGAAAGACAATTCAGAGCCTGGTTAAAAATGAACACCTGGTTTAAACACTTCTCACGGCCGCCCAGCGCCAGCGGAGCACTGCCCCAGCCACCGCGCCAGGGCAGCGGCGCTTCCCCGACACCCCGGGATTGAGACCGGTCCCTCACATGTGGCTCTCCTCCTCTTTGACACCATCCTCCGCGCTCTTCTGAGGCGAGGGGGCCACGTCGTTGTTTGCCTCTTTCTGCTTCTCAGCCTCGTCGACGTTGGTCTCCTCCTCCTTCCCTTCCTTCCTCGACTTCTCCTCCGCCTTCTGCTCCTTTGCCACCAGGCGGTAGTTGACGCCCATCCCAATGAAGAGGTAGATCCCAGAGACGATGAGGATGACTCCACAGGCCCAGTACGTGTACTTGTAGTCACCGTACATGTCGTTGAGCCTCCCTGAGGGACAAAGAGGGGACAACTTAGCCAGCTACCCCCAGAGGCGCTCCAGGCTGGGGACACGTTCCCAAGAGCAGCCCAAGCCCATCACCCTCAGCTTCAGGCCTGCATTCCTCCAGCCCCTGCTCCCCCGCCCTCTGCCAGGGGCTCAGCCCCCACCCCTCAGTGCTGGAGCGGCCTCAGGGCCAGTGCTCGCCCTGCCCACAGCTCAGGGGGCCCGGCACCACACACCTACCCAGCATGGGGGGTCCCAGCAGCACGGGGCAGCACTCCACGATGGTCACCAGGCCGACAGCGCTGGAGAACCGCTGCGCTCCCACCAGGTCCATCAGGGTCTCAAACAGGACCGAGCTCAGCCAGCCGAAGGCAAAGCCAAAGAAGCCAGCGTAAATGCAGAAGCCGGCGTAGGTGGTGGACATGGGGGCCAAGAGGTGGCACACCCCATTGTAAATCACAGAGATGGCGAAGAAATACTGGATTCTGGGTCTGATCCACTTGGTGTTTGCCACCAGTCCCATGGAAGGTCTGGCCACCATGTCTACAAAGGCCAGGATGGAGAGCAGGAAGGCTGCAGACTCGTTAGCAATTTTCTTGCTCTTTGCGTAATTGCTGAGGAAGACCAAGGGAGTGAAGAGCCCGAAGAACATGATCACGTTGCCCGACAGATAGAGCAGGAAGCCCCTGTGGGTGAACAGGGACAGGTCCAAGAACCTGTTGATTGTCTGCATGAAACTGGTCTTCTGCTTCTTGGCCTTCCCGCCGATGAGGTCTGTGCTGGTGTCGCCGTCGTCCTTTTTCACCGCCTTCCCCGCCTCCTGCAGCACCTCCTTGGCAGCCTCTTTCTTCAGCTGGTCCGGCTTGGGGCCGATGGGCCGCATCAGGGACCCGGCGACGCAGCAGTTCAGCAAGAGGCCGCCGAGGATGAGGAAGCTGCCGCGCCAGCCAAATATGCCGAAGAAGAGCTGGTTCACGGGTGCCAGGGTGGAGAGGAACACGGGGCTGCCCGCCATCGCCAGCCCGTTGGCCAGGGGACGCTTCTTGAAGAAGTACTTGCCGATCATGGTTAAGGCTGGGTTCAAGTTAAAGGCGAGTCCGAGGCCTGAAGGAGAGGAGAGAGGAGGGGCTCAGGGCCCGACCACCCCCCGAGCCAACAGCAGGAGGGCTGGTGGGGCGAGCGGGAGAGGGGGGTTTCAGTTCTGGGGGATTCCCAGCTCCGTTTCTGCAGTAACTTCCCAACGGCGGGAGCAGCGCTCGGCCCCGCTGCCGACGTGGGAGAAGGTGCCCGGGCAGCAGCGAGGCCGCATGCAGGAACTGGGGAGCCGGAAGGGCAGAACCGCCCCGGCTCAGGACAAACCTTGGGTCGACTCGGGGGCCACAACCCTCACCCGGGGCGGGAGCAGCGGATGCTCCATTCTCTGCCCCACGTACATCACTAGTACGGTCCCCCGCGCTACGTCACTGGGGCCAGCTCTTAATAATGTGACAGGAATCAGGATTTATGCAAATGCACCACAGACACTCCCTACCATGGGTTGAGGCTACTCCTCCTGCTGCCCCCGCCAGGGCCAGGCCATCACTTACCCCCTACAACCCCAACGCAGAAGTAGAGCCCCTCCACCGTGTTGCAGAAGGAGGCTGCGATCAGCCCGCAGCCGGAGAGGCACCCGCCGGCGATCATGATGGGCCGGCTGCCGTATTTGTTCACCAGGACGCTGCTGATGGGACCTGGGGAGTCGGAGGACACACACCCAGAGGTGAGTTATCTTTGTTCGAGACACAAGACAGAAGCACGCGAGCACACTGGAGGTTTATCGCCACAGGCCTTCACCCAGTGACACTTCACCCAGTGAGGGAACTGGGGTAAGGGGAAAGGACGGGACACTCGGAGGCAGCTGGAGATAAAAGCGTGATACTCGGTCAGAGCAAAGCTGGGACCTCTCCGAGCAAGCGGCTTTGTGGGCTAAAGCAGGAGGTGCCTGGGCACCAGCCCCCCAGGGACAGGGTTTGGGATGGGGGAAGCCACCTGCCCCGGGCTGGGGGCTCTGCAGCGAAACAAGCGCACAGCAGCTGCCCGCTCCAGGGAGAGTTCCGGATCATCTCCAGGGAGAGTTCCTGATCGAGGCTAAAGCTGTGAAGGAACAGCTTGGAGGGTGCCGGGGGAAGGGGCGCTGCTGCTTTCACTGCTGTCCTTAGGGCAGGAAGAGCCCAATCGCTCTGCACAGCCGCCTTTAAGTGCTTCACTATCAGGAGTTTTAATCCAAAGCAAACAGTGATTAGATACTGTGAAGCATGCTCTACAGATACTAAAATGTATTTAAATAAACTGAATGAGCATCCATTGAACATTAACAGACCCAGTTTTGCCATTAACAGGTAGCAAGGTTGTCAACATGTTGTTCATGGGTCCTCAGACGCTACTTGACCTTTTTGCCCAGTTCAAACAAAGCCGGGAGGAGGTCACAGAGCCTCTGCTACCACAGGGGCTGCCCCAGCCCCGCAGCTCCCCGCAGCCAGCGTGGCGACTACGTGCCAGCCAGAGGACTAGCAGCTCCGGCCCGATGCCACCGGCCACAGCCCCGGCCCCATGAGAGGCAGCAGCAGCAGCCTGGGGCTGCCACATCACCCCAAGCCCCACACGCTGCCCCACCGAGCACTCAGCGCTTTGCAAAACCTGTACCTTGAACTTGGCAAACATGATGCCCCTGGACAGAGTCTAAAGGCAGCAGCGGCAGCCCTTCCTCCAGGAAAGCCAGCCCGGAGCAGCAGGCTCCAAGGACAGCTAGCAGGAAGCGCCCGGCAGCACCGTGTGCCCTGGTGGCAACTCCCACCCACCACCTTTCTTTTCTTTAATTAAAAAATAAAGAATTCACACCCACTCCTATCTTAAAGACTCACATGAAGCATTTCCAACCAAATGTTAGCTGATCTGTTTTGATTATTCACGCTGTGGTAAGTAATGGAACCAGAGTCCTCCCTAATCCTATCCTGGAGCTGAGAAGGGGGCATCTGGGACTGTTACACCCACAGACCCCAGTGGTGGCTGCACAGGGCTGGGACGAGCTGCTCCACCACCTCCAGCCTTGCCCGGGACAGGAGCTGCCCCAGCTCTGCAAGACCCCATCAGCCCAGGACATTCTGTCAGGGCATGAGCTACTTTTTTTGCCTCCAGCAGGCGCACGGTTCCCGCAGGAAGGTGCGCAAGGGACAGGGAGACCAGGACGTGCAGTGTGGGCTCCAGCAGGTTCAGCCCCTGCCAAGGGTCTGGGCTCAGGCTGCAGGAGCCCTGGAAGGGGCGAGGGGGGCCGCGGCCGTTCCCACGCTCCGGCAGCCGGGGGATGCTCCTGGGGCAGGCCCAGTACCTTCGGCATCCCGGCTTACAGCAAGCGGTTCAAAACCGGCGAGCTGCTGGGATTTCATAGCAACAATTCAGGGGGAGCTGAGAGACAGTGTCAGCGTGGAGGGACGGGGGGAGCTCTCACCCCACCCGCCCGGCAGCTCCAGGCAGAGCCGCCCCGGGGCGCCCAGAGGAACCAGCTCGGAGCCATTAGGAGAGCAGGAATGGCCCAGATTGAGTCTCATTAAGGCAGCTACACGGTTTACAAGCTTGTTATAACATCGGAGCAGGGAAATGTGCCGGTCGCTCCGCTAGCTGAGCGAGGACAAAGCAGAGCCTGTTCCCCCAAAGGAAGCGCCTCGTGCTTGGCCGGGTGCTGACGTCAGCTCCTTTCCAGGCACAAACGCGACGAGGACGCGGGCGCTTGGCCAGCTGGGATGGCAGCGGCACAACCTCCCACTTGCCTCTGAAGTGGACACGGCAGCACCCTCCCAATAAGAGTTCCTTTCAGCCCAGCGACCCAGCGCAAAGCTGCGCTGGCAGGCGGGGACGAGACCCCGGGGTTTGGAGACGGACGAGCACATCGCCCCGTGCCTCGCCCGCTCCGGGCGAGCGTGAAGCTCGGAGCCTGGGGACCGGAGGACTCCCAGGAACCATTTCTGAAGGATAGGGGAGGGGACCTGCTGCAGGTTCAGTAGTTTTGCTTTATTCTGCCTGTGTCCTTCTACCTCCAGCACACGCTGCCACCCTCAAACAGCACAAGCTGCCCACGGCCGCTCAGCGCCAGCGAGGAGGAACGGGCTGTGCCGGCACTCGGCAGAGCCAGCCAGAAACTGGGGACTGATCCCGAGATACAGCCACTGTTTGCTGGATTTAAAAAAAATAATAATTAAAAAGTGTTATCTAAAAGAAAGAGACTCTGTGAGCAGGGCTCCTATGCGGGGTACAGCGGCTCCCGGCCTTCGGGCGGGCGCTGGAAGCAGACACAGCGTCCGCAGCACTCTGTAACAAGGTCAAGGGCAGAATTACACAAGTTGTAAGTCCCCGGAAAGATTTTACTTACAGCTTTGCAGAGGAGGACAGATTAACCCGGTTTTTGCTTTCTGGGCATTAAATAGAACTTTTTGAGCAACCTAGTTCAAGCAAACTCGCTAAGGGAAGTTTTGCTGCCACGTAAGGAGACCATTCCAACTCTCAGCAGTTTTGGCTGCCGTCCCCACAGCAAGGTGCGGAGCAGAGCCGGAGCGCCGCAGCCTGCGCCGCCACGCGGGAGCACGTGCGCTGCTGCCTCCAGCCCACTCACCTCCCGCGTACATCACAGCCAGCATGATGGAGGAGATCCACGAGACTTTGCTGCTGGATGCGTTGAAGATGACCTCAATCTCTTTGAAGAACACGGTGATGGATTTGGGGAAGGCATAGGAAAACCCAATGGAGATGAAGGCTCCGATGACCACGGCCCATCCCCACCCTCCCTCAGGGGGGGTGTATCCCACGGGGCCTCCGATGGCCGGTGGCATCTTGAACCAAGTTGGCGATGACTCAGTTGGGGTTCAAAGATCTGCAAAGACAAAGCATTGCCTCAGCTGAAGGCGGACGGCTGCATCCCCACTCCCTGGCACGCAGCGGCATGGCTCGAGCCCTGCTGGCCAGGCTGGCACAGCACCAGTGCCCCGACCACCACGGGAGAGCCGACCCGGGCCGAGCGCTCGGGGCTCGCCAGCACACTGGCCCCAAAGCCAAAACACATGCTCAGACTGCAGCTGGCCTTTCGAAGAGCCCAACAAATTTAAGACATAATAGCCCACCCTAAGGTGAAAAGAGCAGGCAGTGACCTTGCCGGCAGCACAGGGCAGTGGCCAGTCTGGTCGAGCCCCTGCAGCTTCCCCAGGAGCGTGGTGGTCCCAGCACCGCCCCGGCACACCGGGAAACCTTGGGAAGCCGCAGGCCGCCTGGAGCAGGAGCAGCACACCTCCATTTCTGCAGAGAAAGAGCAGGCAGGTGTCCCAGCGCAGCCATCAGCCCTGAAGGTCATGGGCTGTGGCTAAGCTTGGCCTGAGCAGTGACCAGGGAAAGGATGTGGGTCTGCCCAGCGCAGCCGCAGCCTGGCAAAGCCCAGTTCTCCAGGATCCGGGCCCCAGCTGGGCACCCCTCGGCCCAGCTGCAGCCAAACCCTCCCTCCCTACCGAAAAGGCTACAGCAGGTTTCATGAAAGCACCCAAGCGTAAAGACAATTCACCTTAAAAGCTCAAAACCAGAAGGGATTAGAAAACAAAACTCTGCCAGTGTCATCCAGGCTTGGTGAAGGGTGGAATCCCCTTAGAGGGGCTGAGCAGGGAGAGGCTGATTTGGAGCCGGCAGGGTCGGGCTGCTCGCGTTCCCCGTGCTGCAGCACGGCCGGATCGCACCCTGGAGCTGTGGTTGCTCGAAAAATACAGCAGCAGAGAGCAGCAGAAACCGTCCCAGGGAGGAAACGCAACCAGAGCAGCTGCTGGCGAAGGTGGTTGACAGTATGCAGAGCAAGAGGAATCACGAGTCCCCAGAACTCCTGCGCGCCCCCGCAGATTTCAGAAGACGCTTTCTGACAGCCTGTGGCTCTCTGCGGCCTAACAGTCAGAAACTCACCCCCAAACTAAGCACCATCTGCCCAGGGGGGAACGTGGGGCTCCTGGCCAGAGCCCACCCCTCCCTCCGCCGCTCCCTGCTCTGCTGCCCAGGTTTCCACTACAAGGAGCAGCCGCCTCCGAGCTTTCTCCAGAGCTCCCCCAGGTCACCCAGGCGCAGCGACAACTTCAAAGCAGCAAGCTGGCTCGGAGAGGTGCAGCCTCCTATTTATAGCTCACATCCATTCAGGCTCTCGGCGATTACATGTCACCCACGGCGCTGACACGCCGGCATCTACCTGGCACGTCCCGCCGTGCCCTGGGCCCGTCCTGCCGTGGGCGGCCGCTCTGCTTTCGCTCACACCCGGGTGCGCGCCCGAGGCCGGGATCCAGGTGTCTTGGCTAAAGCCCGGCCGGTGGCCCCGGCCCGCGGGGAGCCCCCGCTCCCACCTGGCGCTGGCGGCAAAGTTACCTGATACGGCACCGGGTTTGCCAGAGCCACCCGACACCCGGACGGGCTCCGGCGACGCCTTGGACCCGCGCAGGGCAAGAGGAGGCGAGGCCGGGGAGGCCGGGGTCTGTAAGCCGCTAAGGCCGGTTTAGCCCGACCCAGACACCGATTTCTTCGCTGGTATTTTCCTGCACCCCAGCCAGTGCGACACATGACCATCACGAGCAGATCCGAGCCACCCCACCGCTCCAACAAAGGAATCATTTACAAGACGCTGCCCCGAGCACGTCCGCGGCTGAACTATGCCCAGGAGCCAGCGGAGCCCATTTCCTCCCCCGGACCCCCGGGGACCGCAGTCGCACCCAGCGGCCCATTGGGGACACTGGCAGGGCCGGGGGCCGACAGACCCCCACAGCAGAGCCCAGGGCCAGCGCGCACCCGCGGGCACCAGCCGGGCACCGCAGGCGGGGAGGGAAGTGCCGGGCTGGCAGAGGTTCACCACGTACCCCCGGCCCTGGCACGGGGAGCCGTCCACCCGCCAGCATCCTCTTTCTGACAAGCTGCTGAGAACACTGGGTTTTGCTTGACATCACTTCCCCACACGGGTTGCACACTGGAGTTTCCAGCTACTTCTTGCTTTTGAGTCATACTGAGCTTTCACAGCATTCATTGGACTTTAAAGCAACATCTGACTACATGGATTTGTCTGAAACATTTCTAAAATATGAGACTACCAGGTATTGGCCATAAAAACAAGGAGTACAGTCTGCTTGTCAGCACTAATTAAAACTACTGGCAATAAAAGCTATCCAAGGCAAAACCTGGGGGGTGCTGATGAGGTGTTGGGGATTTTTCCCTTTTGCTCCTGAGACACACACAGGTTTAATTCTTTCACCGCTCTCAAGGAGCTCGACTGCACCAGAATTACTGCGGCTTGGTTCATCTATTTGTTCTTTCCCTGCGAGCAGCATTCCTCCTCCTGCGGGTGCTTCAGGTGGCATCTCCCTATAAAATAAAAGGCTTTTGGCAGGTTAGACATGACCTCTCTTGCATTGCTGAGGCAGTGAAAAACCTTGAACGAAACAAGGTTTGAGGCCACAAAGCAAGATTCCCAAAAGCCTGATGCCAGAGGGTTTACATGACGAGTTCTGCATGCCACAACATTTTTCCTTGACTCATTGAAAATCCTCATTAAGACAGACCAGTTTTAGAAAGCTCTTCCTTCAACCACATTAAGGCTTCTTGCTGATTTCCTCCTTGCCCCCACACAGAAGTAGTTTCAAAAGAGAGAGAAAAAAAACCCCAGATGTAAGGCAGCCAGTTCAATTGGAAAGCTTCCCTCCCTTTTGCAAAAAGGAAAAAAAAACAAAACACCCAGAACATAGTTATGACATTTACAGCTCTGTTTTGGAAGAGCTGCAACGTGTAAGACGTGTTTGGAAGTCAAATTCACAGCTGCCAGGCAGCCAGCTACAGTTTGCCCTATTAGGAAATAAAATAACCATATTTGCAGTAATTAAGACTGATGAGACCAAGTAATGACTGCAAGTATCACATCTGCTCCCCGTAAATGTCTTGACTAATCCGCAGGAATGGGTAGCCTACAGCAACCCTCCTCTGCACAGCAATGGCGAGAGGAGCAACGGAGCTTCTTCGGCAACGGGGAGGACGGTATCACCTCCAAACAGATCCCCCAGAAGACTAAAACCCTTTCTATCTCCGCGCTCCTGTGCGCAAGCACTGTTATCCCTTCTCTGGAGGGGCCTGGAACAGGAAGATTTCAAGACTTTTTAGTTGCATAATGTGGCAAATTGCTGCGCTTTTAAAAGCCCCGGACTGGCAGGACTCCAGGGCAGAAAGACAGAGGCTCACATTTATAAAGCGCTGCAAATGCCACAAAACATTTCTGGGCAAACCCTTTATGAAAGTGTCCTCACACCGCCCCTTTAGGGGTCAGAGGAAGAGGGATGTCCGCTGCCCGGGCAGCACACGCCGAGCTCTGCCATCCCCTCGCATCCCTCCAGCTCAAGGTTTCCTCCTCGGGCACAGGCTCGCCTGGCGTTTGCTGCCCCGCGAGCAGGGCACGGGGCAGGCAGAGCCCCGGCGCCCAGCCCGGCAGGGCCGACC